AAAGAAAGAAAGAAAACAAAAGACCTAAATATAAGACTTGAAACTATAAAACTTCTAGAACAAAATTTAGAAAAAATCTTTATTACCTTGAACTTGACATAATTTCTTGAAAATTATATTGAAAGTACAGCAACAAGAAAAAATTAACAAATTGAACTACATCAAATTTTAAAACCTCTCTACTGAAATGAAAACAATCAACTAACTAAAAAAGCTGCTGATGGAATATGTAAAAGTATTTATAAAGCATATATCTGAGAAGGGGTAAATATTCAGAATATAAAAACAACTCCTACAATTCAGTAACCAATGACAACAACAAAACAAATAACTTGATGGAAAAATAGACAAATGACTTAAATATACATTTCTCCAAAGATGTAAAATGGCCAATCACTATAGGGAAAGATGGTCAACACCACTAATCATCAGGGAAATGCAAATGAAAACCACAATGAGTTACCACCTTATACCCATTAGAATGGTAACTATAGAAAACAGAAAGAGAAAGCAGAAAATAACAAGTATGAAAAACAATGCATAGAAATTGAAATTATCTTATACTATTGATAGGAATGTAAAATGGTACAGCACTTTGGAAAACAGTATGGAAGTTTCTCAAAAAATTAAAAACAGAACTACCATACAATCCAGCAGTCTCACATCTGGGTATGTACCCAAAATAATTAAAAACTGGGACTGGAAGAGATATTTTCACACCAAAGTTTACTACAGCAGTGTTCACATTAGCTAAAAGATTTCTGAAAGCTGTCTCAATGTTCATCAACAATGGAACATTCAGCATTGAAAGAAGGAAATCCTGTCACATTCTACAACATGCATAAACCTTTAGGGCATTATGCCAAGTATCATAAACTAGTCACAGAAGACAAATATTTCATGTTTGAATTTATATGAGATGTCTAAAGTAGTAAAACTCTTATAAAGTATAATGGTGCTTGCCAGAAGCTAGGGGAGGGGAAAGTTGTTGTTCAATGGGTATGTATTTTCAGTTTTACAAAATAAAAATAAATTCTAGGAATCTGTTGCACGACAGTTTCCACAGAGTTACTGCTGTACTATACACTTAAAAATGGTTGCAATGTTGAATTCTATTATGTGTTTACTATAACAAAAATTATTAAAATTATTTGGCTATTTAGATTTTTTGCTTTTTCATGTAATGTATTGTCTCTTTAATATATGCAGTGTTTTTTTAATCCTAATATTGGTAATTTGTATTTTTTATTGATCTATTTGAACACAGATTAATTTTATTTATCTTTTCGAAGAAACAGTTTTTGGTTTCAGCTTATTTTCTCAATTGTTTTTAGTTTTCTATTCTTATAGTACTGATTTCTATTTCATTAATTTATTCCCTTATATTTATTATTTTCTTCTCTCTCCTTTTTTAAATTTGCTTTTCTTATTACAGTTCCTTAAATTGAAGGCTTAGGCCATTGATTCGTTGCTTTATTCTCCTCTTAGTATTTAGTGCTATAAATTTACCTCTAGGTTGTATCTAGCATTTTAATATATTGTACTTTTCTTTCAATGTATTTTATAATATTTTAAAATTTCTTGAGATTTCTTCTTTATCCATGTATTACTTACATTTCCAAATATTTGAAGATTTTCTCTTTTTTCCTTTATGTGTTTCAGTTTAGTTCTATTGTGTTTGATGTACATATTGTATACGATTATCATTTTAATTTATAAATATTTGTATAGGTCTAGGATATGATATATTTTGATGTGTTCTGTGCACATCTGAAATAATACTTTACATGTTTTCTTTGTTATAGTGTTCTATAAATAACAATTAGGTCAAGTTCGCTGATAGCTTAGTGTAGATCTTCTATATCCTTAAAAATGTTTTTCTAATTATTTTATCAATTATTTTGAGAGAAGCATAGGGCTCTACAAATATAATTGTGCATAGTCTATTTATTCTATTAGGTATTGCTTTTTGTATTTTGAAGCCTATTATTTGTGTATACCCATTTTGGATTATCACGTATTCTTAACTGGAATGAACTCATTATAATCACATAATTACCATCTGTGTTTCTTATTCCAAAGTCAATTTGATTATAATTTGGCTAATATTTGCCTGATACATCATCACAGATTTAATCCAGCCATATATTTTTTAAAGTATAAGATATAATTATTAAGTAGGTTTAATTTTATAAATGCAGCATTATGTCACAGGAGATTAAATTATTGGAGAAGAATTTAATTAAGTATACAAAGAAAATACAAAAAAGTAATAATTATCTCAATTAATGTACACAAATATTTAACAAAAATTAAAAATTTATTCATAATAAAAACTCTCACCACAGTAAGAACTGAAGAGAATTTTCTCAACCTAATAAAGTGTATCTATAAAAAAAAAAAAAAAACTCACCTACGAGTAAAGGATTAAATGTTTTCTCTCTTGAAACTCAGAAACAAGTCAAAAATATGTTTTCTTTATAAATCTCTTTAATATTGTACCGGAGACAGAGCATTACTAAAACAATATGACAAGATAAAGACAGCAGATATAAATTTGAAAGGAATTAATAAGTTTTGTTTGTTTGTTTGTTTGTTTTTAATAATTCAGTCTCTGTGGAGACTGTCAAAAATTGCCAATGCCGACTATATTTCAAGTTGTGATGGCGGAGTATTGGAAAAACTTTTCAATTAGCAATAATTGCACCTCGGATAAACCTCGTTGGCTACAATACTGCCACTATGCAAAGCTGATGAGTGTTTATTTATAGATGACATGATAGTCTATGTAAAAATTCACCAAAAATATACCTCCAGTAAGCTACTAGAAATAATCAGTTTAACAAAAGCACAGGACACAAAGTTAATATACAAAGTTATATAGTAGTATTTTTCTGCACTATCCATGGTGTTATTAAGATACATCAAGAGGTACTTAATTTAAGGTGGAAAATTTAAGGTGGCAATGACTTTCGAGGCTGTGGAACTAGCAATAAACAATTTTAAATTTAAATTTTAAATATGTCTAAACCATAAAAACCCTAAAATAATTAGTGATGAATCTGTAAGATAAGATACACAGTTGACATTATAAAGGTAGAATCAGATTTTTGTTGCTGTTGTTTTGGTAAAAGTTAGTGGTTTGGAAGGAATAATTCCAAAACTAAACCAGGTAAGATTCTATGTCTTGACCACAGTAGGGGTTACAAAACCACATACAGTTGACCAAATTTATATAACTAAATTATTCAAAAGATTTTATATTCTGTGCACATTAAACATCAATAAACTTGACCTCATCTACAAAATATGTCAATGGAGAAATCTAAATTCCATAAAACCTAGAACTGGTTAATCATATCAGATTACTCTATTAGTGCTTCAAATGACCATCTGGGTTCAGAATTACACCACATAGTAACTATCAGCTTTCTCATATTCACCTATTTTAATGTTCACTATGCAATCATTTATTTATTTATTCATTCACTTGTTTACTAAAGCACTTTCACATTTATCTGTTCAACAAATCTTTTTTATGTATGTGCTGCAGGACAATCACTGTGCATCATAGAACAACCTAAGGGAACAGATTCAGGACTCCTTTTATCTGAGTCACAGTTCACCTCTATCAGTGCGACCTCACAGAGTTATACCATGTGTGATTCTCATGTTTTTCATCTGCAAAATAATGGTAACATCTACCTCTGTGAAAAGCTCTCTTGGCACAGTGTCTGGCACATATACATAATAGAAGATAAAATATTTTTCCTGTCCTTCCCTTTATGCCAGCATTTCTGAACTATGGCTTCTGGGCTTTTGGCATCAGAATCACTTGCTATATAATAAAATCTAATCTTTGAGACTATAACTGCAGAAATTACATTGTAATAAGTGTTGAAATTGGGCATGCAATGATCATCTGATGCCCCTAGGCTTCTCTGGTTTCCATCTTCTTCCTCCTTTTTTTCACAAGCAAAATTCCCACCTGCAGAATCTCTCTTAACCTGTAAAATCAGTTGGAATCTTGAACTATAAATGGGTTTTGTTTTTCTTAAAGTGTCACCAAAGGGCCTTCTGTATTATTTTGGGGGTGCTTGTTAAAAATCCAGATTTTTAACCTCAATCCATACCTACTGAATTATAATTCGGGGAGGTAGGGATTCAGGAATCTTCATCTAAACAAGCCTCCCGGGTGATTCTTAAATTCCGTAACATTTGAAAACTTTAGGCAAACCCATCAATCACAGTTTCCAAACCCTAATGATATTTGGGTTTAGTTACGGCAACCTAATTCACATCTACTGTCCTGTTCCTGGACCTCACCATCTAAGCAGCAGACTGGGAGGCCTCATTGTAATTTTACTGGCAAATTTTTGTCTTCAACCTGCATTCCAGTGAATGAGGTCTGTTTCCTACTGATATCTCTTTATTCTAAAAGTATTTATCGAGCAGCTAATGGGTGTCAGGTCCTAAAATAAGCAGGGATATAGCAGTGACAAAAGAAAAACTAAAAACAAACACAGCATATCAAGTGGCATATTAAGCACACATAGTAAGTGTGAATTAAAAGTAATCTTTTTATTGTTATTGACATGCCTACCCTCTTATTGGAAGCATGACAGTAATTTAGCATGTCCTTGGCCTGATACAAACTGTTTGCCTGGCTCACTACATGAAATCTCTTGCCATTGCCTTAAGATGTCAAATTATGTGACAGTACTTGGTTTTCTAGAGCCAGGAGCTGGGTCTGGCTATGGTTTCTGCCCCATGTCACCTTTCCTAATTTGACATTACCAGCCACACCTAGAGAGAATAGATTCACCTGGATTTGAAGGGTTAATTGCACTGACAGACTACCACCAGAAGAGGGTAGCAGAGGGTTACAGAGTAAGAGCTGTGGCTGGCATAGGTCTTCCCCTACTAAAGGATGAGGTTGTCTTCAAACAAATCATTAATATAGTCAGTCAAGAGGTGAGTTTACTGAATAAAGCATTGGCCTGAGAAGAATGTTACGTTACTGGGACTGGTCTTCAATTTGAAATGGGGAGTAGGATGTATCAGAGATGATTCTAGTGATAAAATAGATGCCTAAAGTATATTCCATGACGTGAATGTCTCCTCCTATGGCCTCTATTCTCAGGTTCCTGTCATTCCTACCCTCTCACCTCTGTTAAATTTGCTTAGTGAAAAACACAATGGCTTCTAAGCAGACCATGAGATCTCAAGAGTCAGATCTTATTTTTCTTCCTTCCCATAGTAAACATTTACTCATCTCAAGTCCTTTGCTTAAACTGAGCATATAAAACTCAAGTTTCTGATCATTTCCTAATTTAGGAATAGCATGAAGGTGGGACTCAAGACCAGCTGTGGGTGGGGTTTACCTCTACAATCCCAGGGACTAGCGGACTAGCCAGTACCTTATAAACACTCAGGAATTTTATGGCAAAAATTCATGAGATTATAAGAGTAATTAACACAAATGGTAATTTTTACAGTTCTTCTTTCTTAAAAGGGCAGCAGGATGACAAATTTTATTTCTACCTTATGCTCTGCAGAAACCAGATATAGTGCCTCCTCTGTCAGGCATACCTAGCAGGAAGCCTCCCACATACTGAATGCTTTGAGCAGTCTCCTGACAGGGATATCAAGCAGATAAAGTTGAAAATGTATTAGAGGAAAGCAGTATGTTCTTAATACGATCGTCACCCATGACCCTTGGTTCAAACAAAGCCAGAGGTCAGCACTGTCCTTTGTGTTCCTCACGGCCAGGACACTGCCACCTGTCAACTGCAGCAGATTTGCCAGAATCTCTTTCAGAACAAAACTAACAGGAATTCTGGGTTAGAAGCCACACAATATTCTTACCATCTAAAGCCAAAAAAATAAAACAGAGAAAGGAATAAGGATTGAGGTGTTTTTTCTTTCCAACAATGCTGTATTAAAAAAAAAAGAAAAAAAAATGAAAAGCATTTCTTTGTTAACCTTTACAAGAGACCTGTAAAAAGATATTATTAGTTTAATTATTATCATTTGCCTCATTTTTGAAAGGCAGTGAAATAAAGGGAGGTAAAAGGGCTTGTTTGGGTCAGCCACTGAAGTCTTTTTATTTTAGAGCCCAGGTTTTTTTGTTTCTGTATTGCCATGTTACCTCAATTCAATTCAGAGGAACCCATGTATCATGTTTTATAATTTATAAAACATGCTAACATTGATTTTCCAAATTATCCATCATAAGTACCCTATTGTATAGATAACATACTAGTTCTAACTTTAAACAGATGAGGATACTGAAGTCATAGCAAGAACACATGAAATACGGTCTTCCTTGAACAAAGGAGCTGCCTTGCAAAATGATTTAGTCTGCTTAAATTATAACCTAAGAATAGGCCAAAAGCAGGTCTTTGCAAGGTAAAATCTGTTCTTTTATTCTTACATGGGTGTTTAACTGAACCCTGTGCACACATAAGGCAGTAAAAATATACACAGAATTGTTTTTTCTTTATTCAAAATGCAGAAAAGGAACAAAAATCAACACTGCATCTAATCACAGTCCCTGCTGCTGTCTCCTGTGTCTGTTGGGGAGGGAGGCTGCAGACAGCATTAGTATCATTATTATCAGATAAGTAGACGATGAACACAGGCCACATAGAATTGGCACAGTTGTTTCACAGACTTTTGGTTATTCGGTTATTTTTTTAAAAAAGCGAATGTTAGCGCTTACTTTGGCAATAGAAAGTTATAAGGATTAAATTAGTTATGTAAGAAAATTAGAAGAATATATTTGATTTTACTTCAATTAATATAAGACAGCAATAAAGGGAGAATCCCAAAATTAATAGCAAAGAATGATCATTCAGCAGACCCAAAATTCAAATTGAAACATGACGATGAGAACTGACCTTCCTCATACTGTCAGCAATATTAGAGAGAAACTCAAATATGGAATGCGGGGTTGAAGTTAATGCAATGTAGAAATTAAGAAGCCGGGAGAGCCTGAAGTATAGATTATACTTGAAAATCTCAAGATGACTAGTCAATTTTTATTGAGCAATTATTGTATGCCAGCCTTGTTTAATGCATTTTACATATATTTTTAAATTTAATTATTACAATTCTATTAAGTAAATACAATGATCATCAACATTGTGCAAATGAACAATGAGACTTAGAGATAACAGTTAATATTTTTTCTCAAAATCCCATGGGAAATAGAATCAGGCTGGGAATAGTTAGGTCTATCTGATCTAAGAGCCTGTGACCTTAATTATTCTTCTTCATAACTTCAAGAACCTGGAAATATAATTTATAGCAGAAATTTTTATCTCTAAATTATTCATTAATTTATATTCAACTCTGTCACATAGAGTTAACACGACTTTCAAAAATTATGCTAATAAAGCCATTACTTAGGATGCCTTATTATCACCACTTAATTTATAATCAAAATGAGCTATTTCAATGAAATCATCTCACAGTTTGCAAGTTTCACTTCATTATACCCAGGAACCAAACGTATATGTTAAGGAAAAGCTTAGGTGAGGTCTTCCTATTTAGCTTTTAGAAATGTTGACTTCCAAGGACAAATTGGTACGATAGAATTGTTTAAATAACAACTCTCAGATTATTTGCATCTCTGTAATGAATGTGAAGCAGATTCAATATGAGAAGAGATCATGATGGTTTGGTACCTACAGCTAGTTTGAAAATGTTATTTCAACAAGCATGTCCTCTGTGACTGGGCATGGTGTT